GGTGCCCATTCCTGTAGTAATGTCAGCCATGACGCCATTCCATACACAGGCCATTCCTTGGGATTACACCGCCGAGGCGAGAAGGAAGGGGAAAACTAGGTCTGGAGAAGCAATTGCAGCACAGGGTATGACCAGAACCGGCAGGATTTATACCCCGGAGCATCTAGTTAAATCAAGTAAGCAGGTCCGATGCACATAAGAATGCCTTGTTGAAGATACTGAGTGAGGCATATGTACCCAGCAACATAACTGGAGGAGAGATGGCGAACATGATAGGGCAGATATTGGAGAGTCATAAGATCACTTTCCACGAGGATGAGTTGCCCCCAGAAGAGTTAAGCCACAACAAAGCGTTGCACATCACTGTGCAATGTGAAGACTATTTCATCACTAGGACTTTGATTGACGGAGGGTCCAGCCTCAATATTTGTCCATTGGTGACGCTCAGAACGTTGGGGAAGAGCCTGCATGAGATCAAGGATGGGGCTATCAACGTCAAAGCTTTTGATGGTTCCCAAAGGTCCACTATTGGGGAGCTCAGTTTGTGTCTACAAATGGGACCGACTTGGTTTGACGTTGATTTTCAAGTGATAGACATCCCGGCATCTTATAATTTACTACTGGGACGACCTTGGATCCACACCGCTGGAGCTGTAGCCTCAACCCTGCACCAGGCAGTGAAGTTTGAGTGGAATCACCAAGAGGTGATTATTCATGACGACGGTAGTAACCCCATATACAGTCGCCAGACCATCCCAGCAATCGGAGGAAGAAGGAAGCTAGGCGGAGAGACCTACCATCACATTGAGTGAGTCAACGCCGTGGACAAGGATAAGTGGTGGGATAACAAGATACAAAGTATACTGAATTAGAGCGGGTATGAACCTGGCAAAGGGCTCGGCAAGAACCTACAGGGAATCACTAAACCTATCAAACTAAAGAAGCATGGCACCACCTTCGGGTTAGGGTATGGATATACTTGGGAAGAATTCAAGAATTGGTCGCCACCATGGCGCGGCCCTTACTATCCGCTGGAGCACCCGATGCCTTGCCTGGAGCAGACTTTCCAGCCGGCAGATATCATATATGGGTCAGAAGAAGAAGAAACAATGGCGGCAATGAAGAATTTGTTCTTGGAAGACGACAATATGGACTGTCACGTCATTTTCGAGGAGGAAAGGGAGGAAGGCCCTTCCATACAACCTGTGAGCCGAGGAGCGCGCCTCAACAATTGGTCCATTAGAACCACCAAGGCCCGGAAAGCTTCGGGGTAGCAAGGCTGAACAAAGCACTATGCATTATCTTTTACTTTTTCACTAGTTGATTTCCTTCCCGTATTTTCTTTAAATTTCGAAAAGAGCTCTGATGTTCAAAAACAATTATGGAATTTATCAAAGTATTTCAGTTTCTTATAAATCTCGCTCTTATTATTTTCTCTATTATTTACTTTATTCACACAGCATTACTATTACTTATCTTGATGAACCAGCGAATGTGACATGCGACGAGATAACGCAACAAATGGATATAGACTCAAAAGAGGATGATATACCAGAAGAGGTTGTTAAAGAGGTTGAGGACTTTGAGAACAGGCCCAAGTCTAACTTGGACGAAACTGAGGTTATCAACTTGGGGGATACAGAGAATGTCAAGGAAATGCGCATCAGTGTTCATCTGTCACCATCGGAAAAGGAAGAGTACACGGAATTTCTACGGGAATATGAGGATATATTCGCCTGGTCTTATAATGAATGACTGGTCTCAGCACATCTATTGTAGCTCACAAACTGCCAACAGATCCAACATGTCCGCCGGTAAAACAGAAGCTCAGGAAGTTCAAACCTGACATGAGTTTGAAAATCAAGGAAGAAGTCACCAAGTAAGTCAAAGCCAAGGTCCTCAGGGTAATGGAGTATCCAACATGGTTAGCCAACATTGTGCCAGTGCCAAAGAAGGATGGGAAGGTCAGAGTCTGCGTCGACTACCGGGACCTCAACCGGGCTAGTCCGAAAGACGACTTCCCCTTGCCAAACATACATATTCTGATTGACAACTGCGCCAAGAACAAGCTGCAGTCATTTGTCGATTGTTTTGCTGGATATCATCAGATATGGATGGATGAGGAAGACGCTGAGAAAACAGCTTTTATTACGCCATGGGGGATGTATTGTTACAAGATGATGCCGTTTAGGTTAAAGAATGCTGGGGCCACCTACCTAAGGGCCATGACTACTATTTTCCACGACATGATACACAAAGAGATCGAGGTATATATAGATGACGTCATCATCAAATCCAAGAGAGCCGCCGACCACATGGAAAATCTGAGGAAATTCTTCAACAGATTGAGGAGGTACAATCTGAAACTGAATCCCACCAAGTGCGCATTCGGGGTTCCTACTGGAAAGTTGCTTGGGTTCATCGTAAGTCGCCGAGGAATGGAGCTGGATCCATCAAAGGTTAAGTCCATTCAAGAATTGCCACCGCCAAAGAACAAGAAAGAGGTCATGAGTTTCTTGGGAAGACTCAATTACATCAGCCGGTTCATAGCTCAATCCACTGTCATTTGTGAGCCAATCTTTAAGATGTTGAAGAAAGATGCTGCTACTAAATGGACTGCTGATTGTCAGAAAGCCTTTGACATAATCAAGGAATACCTGTCAACACCGCCAGTTTTGGTCCCGCCCGAACCAGGTAGACCCCTATTGCTCTACCTTGCAGTACTGGATAGGGCATTCGATTGTGTTTTGGGACAACATGATGAAACAGGGAGAAAGGAGCAAGCCATCTACTATCTCAGCAAGAAGTTCACCCCGTACGAGGCCCGGTATTCCCTGCTAGAACGCACCTGTTGTGCTCTGACTTGGGTAACTCAGAGGTTGAGGCATTATTTCTGTGCCTATACCACTTATCTCATATCAAGGATGGATCCGCTGAAATATATCTTTCAGAAGCCCATGCCCACTGGCAAACTAGCCAAGTGGTAAATCTTGTTGAGTGAATTCGACATTATTACGTGACTCAGAAGGCAATCAAAGGACAGGCACTGGCAGATCATCTTGCCGAAAATCCCGTGGACGGAGAATACGAGCCTCTAAAGACGTATTTTCCTGACGAAGAGATCTCTTTCATAGGAGAAGACATTGCAAAATCCTATGATGGCTGGAGAATGTTTTTCGATGGAGCAGCAAATTTCAAAGGAGTTGGCATAGGGGCAGTTTTAGTATCAGAAACAGGTCAGCATTATCCGGTGTCTGCCAAACTCAGGTTCCCGTGCACCAACAACATGGCCAAGTACGAAGCCTGCATCTTAGGGCTCAAGCTGGACATTGACATGAATGTTCACGAGTTACTAGTGATCGAGGATTCCAACTTGCTCATACATCAGTTTCGAGAAGAATAGGCAACCAATAACTCCAAAATACTCCCGTACTTGCATCATGTACAGGAGTTGAGGAAGAGGTTTACAAAGACAAAATTCCGGCATGTCCCCAGAGTCCAGAATGAGTTCGCCGACGCATTGGCCACTCTATCATCCATGATTCAGCATCCAGATAAGAACTTCATTGATCCTATCCCGGTAAAAATCCAGGATCAACCTGCTTACTGTGCTCATGTCGAGGAAGAAGCAGACGGAAAACCATGGTTTCATGACATTAAGAAATATCTGTCAACAGGAGAATACCCAGAACTTGCAAACACTACTTAGAAGCGCACACTGCGGAGGCTATCCAATCACTTCTTTCACAGCGGAGGAATCCTGTATAGGAGGACTCCCGATTTGGGATTACTGAGGTGTGTCGAAGCAAAGGAAGCATCCAGGTTGTTGGAGGAGGTTCATGCAGGGACTTGTGGCCCGCACATGAATGGTTTCGTCTTAGCCAAGAAAATACTCCGAGAGGGATAATTTTGGATAACTGTGGAGACGGACTGCATCCAGTATGTTCGAAAATGCCATCGCTGTCAGATACATGCGGATATGATAAAGGTGCCTCCTAATGAGCTCAATGCAACAAGCTCACCATGGCCGTTCACTGCTTGGGGAATGGATGTCATCGGACCTATCGAGCCTGCCACATCAAACGGACACAGGTTCATTCTAGTGGCAATTGATTATTTCACCAAATGGGTTGAAGCAGCATCATATAAGGCGGTAACCAAGAAGGTTGTGGCAGACTTTGTCCGCGACCGTGTCATTTGCCGGTTCGGCATCCCGGAGTCAATCATTACTGATAATGGTTCCAATCTCAACAGTGACCTAATGAAAGCAATGTGCGAGATGTTCATGATTAAGCACAAAAATTCTACAGCTTACAGACCTCAGATGAATGGAGCAGTAGAAGCAGCCAATAAGAATATCAAGAAGATACTGAGGAAAATGATAGAGAAACACAAGCAATGGCACGAAAAACTATCATTTGCCTTATTGGGATACCGCACCACGGTTCGCACATCAACCGGGGCGACTCCCTATATGCTGGTTTATGGTACCGAGGCAGTCTCCCGGCCGAGGTAGAGATTCCCTCCCTGAGGATTATACAGGAAGCGGAACTTGAAGATGCATAATGGGTAAAAAGTCGCTATGAGCAGTTAGCCCTTATAGACGGAAAGAGAATGAACGCAGTTTATCATGGTCAATTGTATCAAAACAGGATGTCCAGAGCCTTCAACAAGAGAGTCAAGCCGAGATAGTTTATGCCAGGACAGCTAGTGTTGAAGAAAATCTTCCCGCATCAGGACGAGGCCAAAGGAAATTTCTCTCCTAACTGGCAAGGCCCGTACATGGTTCACCGGGTCCTAACAGGAGGAGCCCTCATATACTTGCAGAAATGGACGGGGAAGTTTGGCCAAAGCCGATCAATTCAGATGCAGTCAAGCGTTATTATGTATGATTTCTTTATGATGTAATTTGAACTACGCCTGACCTGATTCCCGTTTAAGAGGGGATACGTAGGCAGCCCTATGGGTTCGGTCACAATTCATAAAAATTTCATCCCNAGTTCCCCCACCACCACCCAGTTAACGTCTCCTCCTCCACCCATATTACCTATTCCTCACGACCACCGCCCAAGAAATCACCTCCTCCACCATATTATTACTCTTCTCCACCACCACCAAAGAAATCACCACCGCCACCATATCACTACTCTTCCCCACCACTACCGGTAAAGTCACCTCCAACTCCATACTACTACACCTCCCCACCACCTCCAAAAAAGTCTTCTCCCCCACCATACTATTACGCTTCACCACCACCACCTACTCAATACTATCCTCCACATCATCGTTTGGTGGTCAAGGTTGTCGGAAAGGTTTACTGTTTTAGATGCTATGATTCAAAATATCCAGAGAAGTCCCATGGCAAGAAACACCTGAAAGGTACAATACTTTTTGTTCCACATCCACTCTTTTTATTTACTTTAATTTATCACCAAAAATTGATTTAACTATATATTTTCCTTTATGTTGCTTTATTCGTTAAGCTCTTACCAAAATACCCAAAAATGTGCTAGTAAAAGATTTGCGTGCATCACATTCACTGGATTTTCCTTTTTTAAAAATAAGATTTTAATATGTCAAAAATATTTACAAGGTAGTGACTACAGATATTTTTGTGACTATGGAATAAAATATTGAAAATGACATATGTTAGCAGCTCAATAATTTTAGTGTTAATTAATATATTAATTCTTTTTTCACATGAATTAGGTGCTGTTGTTAAGGTGACTTGTAAGGTTGGTGACAAGAAAATTGTGAGTTATGGTACCACAAAGATCAACGGCAAATTCAGCATTACTGTTAAAGGATTTAAATATGCCAAATATGGAGCAAAGGCTTGCAAGGCTAAACTACACAATGCTCCAAAGGATTCTAATTGTGACATTCCTACAAACCTTCATTGGGGAGTAAAGGGTGCTAACCTAAAAGTGAAGTCAAAGAACCATTATGAAGTTGTACTCTATGCAAAACCATTTGCATATGGCTCTAAGACACCTTATGCAAAATGCACAAAACCTAAGCCTACACCTACTCCATACTACTATAAATCTCCTCCATCTTCATCACCGACTTATATTTATAAGTCACCACCTCCTCCATCACCAACATATGTTTACAAGTCACCACCTCCCCCAACCCCGATATATGTTTACAAATCTCCGCCGCCACCAACTAAGTCTTCACCATCTCCTTATTACTACAAGTCTCCACCTCCACCATCACCAAAACCTGCTCCTGTATACTATTATAAATCACCACCACCTCCATCACCATCACCTCCACCTCCTTACTATTATAAATCTCCTCCATCACCATCACCTTCTCCCCCTCCTCCATATTACTACAAGTCGCCACCACCCCCATCACTATCACCTCCACCACCATACTACTATAAGTCACCACCACTGCCATCCCCATCACCACCTCCACCCTATTATTACAAGTCTCCACCTCCACCATCACCAAAACCTGCACCTGTATATTATTATAAATCACCACCACCCCCGTCACCATCGCCTCCACCTCCTTACTATGACAAATCTCCTCCACCACCATCGCCTTCTCCTTCTCCTCCATATTACTACAAGTCGCCACCACTCCCATCACCATCACCTCCACCACCATACTACTATAAGTCACCACCCCCACCATCCCCATCACCACCCCCGCCCTATTATTACAAGTCTCCTCCTCCCCCATCTCCATCACCACCCCCGTCCTATTACTACAAGTCTCCACCACCTCCATCGCCATCACCTCCACCTCCATATTACTATAAGTCTCCACCACCACCATTTCTATTACCGCCACCACCCTATTACTACAAGTCTCCGCCTCCACCGTCGCCTTCTCCTCCACCTCCATACTATTACCACTCTTCACCTCCACCAGTGAAGTCTCCTCCTCCTCCCTATTACTACAGCTCACCTCCTCCACCCGTGAAATCACCACCTCCGCCAGTATACATTTATGCTTCTCCGCCACCTCCAATCCACTACTAAGTATTTCTAAGAGCTCAGCCATTCTCCATAATCAATCAAGTAAGCAGCCGTTTGAATTGTGTATTTTTTTTTTTTTCATATGAAATCAACTTTTGATTTTTCTTTTCTTTGAATTAAGTTCTAATCTTATATTTCATTGTTTGTTTTCAGATTTTAATTTGAAGGACGAAGTAAATGCTGGCTTCTTGAGGAAAAGATTCAAACATCAATGGCACAAAGCAATTAATTTATGGAATAAGATATTCAACTTTTCAATTGAAGTCCATCAACTCCTTGTTTTAGATATTTTTGAATTTACTTCTTTTATATATATTTAAACAATAAAGAATTAGTTCCACTGAATAAATAATAATACTTTTTAACAATTTCAAAGTACTGAATAATCCTACAGATATCCCAAAATCCGATGTCACAAGTGTATGAGCAATTACTAAGAGAACCGAATACAGTACAATAACTGTCCGGAATACAAATTGGACAGAGGAAAATTACAATACGCTGAAAGAGACTATACTGGCTGCGGGTCGCCTCGAGAAATGCAGCTCACCTAGTCTCCGTATCATCCATGCTGCTACACCCAATAAGCCACTAGAAATACATGTGCATGTGTAACAAAAATGCACAGCAAGTGTAGCATGAGTACGAAAATAACGTGTACTCAGTAAGTATCCCGTCTAATCTTGAAGAAGTAGAGACGAGAGGTCGACTTCGACACTTACTAATAGTCCAATAATGATACGTCAATAATATAATAGATAGAATTTTTATAAACATGATTGTAATTCAATAGAATGAAGCAAGTAAACAATTCTTTCTTTTAGAGGAAATTTCCAAATTCTTTTTTATCATTTATGCATTTATTCTCAAGCAGGGAAAAAAACAATATCACTTCCATAAATTTCAAGACAAGCAATATAAGCATGCGCAAATCATGCCGAGGTCGTACGGCCCGATCTAAAAATATTTAAACTGTGCACTGCGAGAGGGTCGAATGGCGCGAACCATAGATGCATCTATTTAATCTACCGAGGCGTTCGGCCTGCTCCACAATATATAAATACATTCAAACAGTCAATCAAGAGTTCGTCAAGGAGCAATTATCCAAGTAAACGGCAAATTTCGCTTTTAAAAATCAAGGAAACGATGACTAGTCTTTTAGATATTCATTTACACATTCAATATGTTTTAAGCACTTTTAAATTGACAACGAGATTTCAAATATTGCAAGTAAAGCATGCTTTTGGGTCCTAGACTACCCGGACTTAAGCATAATAGTAGCTACGCACGGACTCTCGTCACCTCGTGCGTATGTAGCCCCAACAAATAGCAGCACATATTCAATTAATTCACCTATGGGGATAATTCCCTCTTACAAGGTTAGAAAATAGACTCACCTCGCTCCGAAGCCTATACCCAATTCAAGAATGCGCTCAAACCTCCAAATTGGAGCCGAACGATCCAAAACTATTCAAATGGGGTAAGTACTGGTCAATACATGCTCAAAAGTTCATATTCTAATTATTAAACCAATTTCCCAACCTAAATGCAAGGTTCCTAAAATTCATCCCCGGGCCCACGTGCCAGGATTCCGAAAATGTTTGAAGAAAGTTGTTACCCATAACCTAAGGATCAAGAATATATGATTTTACTCCATTCCATAACAAATTTCGTGGTTAAATCTTGTTTTCATCAAACTCTAGGTTTTTCATCTAAACCTTTGATTTTCCCTAATTTTCACATGTTAATCTACCCATAATCTATGTATTTAACTCATGTTGGGTAGAAATTACTTACCTCAAAGTGCTAGGTGAGAACTGTTGATACCCAATTTTTTCCTACATATTTTTATACTCAAAATATTCTCAAAATAGCATATACATACCTATATAAGCATGCCCAAAAGTTTTGATATTTTTTCTTTATTTTTAAAGATTTTTAAATCAATTTATTGTCTATTTTTATACTACAAAATTCAATAATTATTCCCAAACTAGCATTTTTAGTGAAAAATTTATTTCATTCTCATATTTACACTGAATATAATTAAGGTAATTTGGCGTATTTTTTATACATTTGTTTGGTTTTTAAGCTAAATTGCATATAATTGCAATTATAACCTATTTTACAATTAACAGCATTTCATAATCAAAAAATCACTTTTAGTATTTTTACATTAATATTTATATGTTATTAATTAGTTCAGTACCTTTGATTTATTTTTAAATTATTTTTTACTATTTTTATAAAATAATAAAAAGGGAAAATTGGCTATTTAACAAACAACCCTTAGTATTTCAATTATAGCCAAATTGGCCACATCCCTATCAGATTTTTAAATGACCCAATTCGACCATCAACCGCCATGGGACCCTAGATCGATGGTTCTCTCTATTGAGATCCCAAAATCCCCACCATGTGAATCAGTCCCTAAAAGTTCCGCATGGTTTGTTTCCGGCCATCTCCGGCCACCTCCCTTTCACCAAGGCTCCGATGGGCCTCTCACCGTCCTGTTCAACACCTCTAGGACCTTCGAGGTTTATGGACCGTAGTGGTTGAGACCTAGGGTTCTTGGTTCTGCTACTTGTGGGTTCTCCGGTGTGATTTCAGGCGAAATCACACCCTATACGTCACGATCTATGAAGTTTCGACAGGTTCTCTCAACTTTTATTAGGGTTTTCCCTTTTGAAACCCTAACTCTCTCCTGAATCTCTCAAAACAGTGCTATTCTCATGATATTTTCATGTTTTCCTCTATGTTCGACTTATTTTCGAGTTTATTCTGAAATATCTTTTACTTTGAACCACCTTTTACTTTCTTTGAAAATTAGGGTTCTTAGATTTCTTTTACGCATGCTTTAGCTGATTTTCTTTATGATTAAATCTTTTCTTTGTTTATTCTGACCTGTTTCTATGCTCTCACTGTTTTTAATTTGACTCTGCTAAAAAACCCTAATTTCTAAAATGTTTACTTGTTTGATTATGGGTGTTGGCATGTCTCTTTGCCTTGGTTATGTGTGTTGGACTAATTTTCTTGGCCTTGTCTCTATGTGTTAGCATGTTCCTTCGTCTGATTATGCGTGTTAGCACGATTCTTTCTACTCGGATTCTATGTGTTTAGCATGCTCCTTCGTTTCATTGTGTGTGTTAGCTTGATGTCCCTTGACTCTTGCTAATGTTTCATGGTCACCAGGCTTCGAATATGTCCTGCTGAATCTTAACTTGTTTTTACTAGCTCTGAGTGATTGTGTTTGTTCATCTCTTGTTCCCCTTCTGTCTATATAGCTAATTTTGGCTCGCTACTTTTGTTCATTCACCTCTATTTATCTGTTAAAAATGCAGAATCATGACTTCACACGATTGATTCTGATTTTCCTTGATTGATTGGTAATTCAAAAACTTTCTTTAAAACCCTAGCATTCTACCCGCCCGTTTGAATTAATTGATTTTGTTACCTTATTTGTTATAGTACTATGTCTTTTAAGCCTTTCCTTAATTAGAATTTCCTGAATTTGGTCTTAATTGGCTACTATATGCAATCTGAATCTTGATCCCCTCCCTTATTTATTCGTTACACTGATTTTTCCTACTTCGCCTTATACGGTGCTGAATATTTTCGTTNGGTGCTGTAATATTTTCGTTTGATTTTTGATTTCCCTTAATTAATTGGGAGTTACTTCCTTTATTCTTTGATTAATTGATTCCGAGTTCTTCAATTTAACATATTTCTGTTGATTTTTACCTTATTTTACCCCCTACTTTCAACTATAAATACTCTAAGTATTTTACACAAAAACAACAGTCTTCTGACTTACACACCACTGAATACTTTCAAATCTGCATTCTCTCTTGCTCTCTTGCTCCACTACTATTCTCTGCTCCTGTTTATTATTAGCCGGCTGAAAGCCAAGGCTAATATAGTGTTACTCCTTTATCTTTGCATCCTGCTTTTGCTCTTTACTGGTATGTCCTGATTAACTTTTCAAGTGTCACACCAATGTGTTTATTTTTGTTTCAGTTCATTATTTTTGTGATTCTCGTCTACTTATGGTTCTCTTGTTCAGTGTGTAATTGATTCTTTACTCTAATGCTTCACCATGCCTTCTGATTTACATGTTAAGTCTGACTTTGTTTACTCCTAACTTTATTTGTTATGTCTATGTCCTGTTGTTACACATTAGCATGCCTAAACTCTACTGCCTCCCAGTCCCCTGAATCCCCTGATTCTGGGTAGTCCTATCCATTAAACCTGCATCCCTTTTAGCATTGTGTGATCTATTTGCTTCCCTTTTCCCATGACCATTGTATGCAATCTTATGCTATTGTTTCTGTTGTTTCTTTCTAAAACAAACCCCTTGTTTTCTTAAAACTCTTCTTTTAAACACTTTTTCCTGCACTTCACACTATTCTTCGAAAATAGGATCTGCCCCCTTCGTGTGAGCATTGCTTTGTGTGCCTCTGAGTACTCACTGAACTTTGACACACAAGGCCGGTATTCCACACTGCACCTGTCCTGCATTCTTCTAAAATGTCTAGGTGCTGGTATTGGCCAGGGACCCAATGGGGCCCTAGGGAGCTTTGCCGCACCTAGACCATGGCAAAGGCTGTGAACTCAAAGGGGTTGAGGTTGGAAGATTGGGCCTGATTGAAGGCTCCCTATAGCATAGCTTTTTATTTTTTTGTTCTTTCGTATTGTAATTCAGATGCTACTGGTTTGTAATAATTTGTAAACAAATAATTGGGGGTGAATAGTGAATATAGGGGAGGGTTATGCATGCTTAGTATAAATCATGGGTAGAAAACATACTTATAGGATTTTATTTGCGCAATAGACAACCTGTATAAGTCATGCATCTCATTCATTAGAAATCCTGCTTTAGGTTCTTTATTTTCAGTCTGTCATTACGCTCATCTTGTAACCACGCTCAGTTAATAACCAGCAATGATTAACAACAAGCCAAATAACTTGTAATTACTGCATTGGCATATTAGAAATCATGTTCTTAGGAACTCTTATGTGCATTAGATATCCTGCCCATAGGACTTCTTACTTGTTCGAGTTGCAGTGGTTAATTCATGTTAGTCCAATAACCGTGATAAAATATGGTTAAGTGGTTTGAAACGTTTTCTGCAAACACTTTACCACGCGTACCTTATAAATCAGAATAAGGAAAATGTATGTTCATTCCTTTATAAATAATCAGGTAATGTATAACAATGCCTAGGCAAACCTTAGGCCCGTTAGGAACTGACCAATTGTGTCTTTTTATTAGCCTAAAACCAACCAGCTTCTTTAAGTTTTAACTCTGCAGTTCCCCCTTCTTGTTGTGATCTTCTGAAG